ACTCTCGGCAATTGCTCAAGAATAACACTTAAAAATCCTCACAACTCTCTCTATATTTCGGGTTTGGAGAAGAAAATGGAGCAAAATCTCCCAAAGCCTCACTTATAATAGAAGGCCGAATGCATAAGGTGAGGGAGAGAAAGATGGTCAAAGCTTATGGACACTTGTCTCACATGCTAGATGATGCTTAGGACACTACACACTACCAGCCAAAGAGATATGCATTAAGCTCCAAACACAAGGGTTTAAAATAATCTAACAAATCCTAAGTGCATGAGGAAAACCGAATGCTATGCACATGACTACTATGATCGGTTTTAGCAAGAATATGCTCAAGTTAATGCACTTTGGAATAAATGAAAAGTTCTCATCTTGACTTGTGATAGCTCCCATGCACACTACTACAAGACATACTTGCACAAAAATACAAAAAGAGTGCACGGCTATTAAGGACAACTTGGGAGGAATCTTGGACTAAAAATCCACTAACTCTCCACAATACCAACAACATGCACGGCTATTGGGAAATGAAGAAGGAAATTGAACCAAATTCACTAAATGACAAGGTGGGATAAAACAACTCCTCAATCCACTTAAATGGCACGGCAATGGAGGAAATAAAATGGTGAGTTCCGCACGGCTATTATTACTAATCAAGTGATTAATTACAATTAATCACCAATTAAAGCTTAATTAATAACTTAAGCATAACACTTAATTACCAAATTAATCCGGACGTAACGATACGTCGAAAATAATTTTCGGTAATTTCGACTGAAATAACTGAAAATAATTAATTCCGAAAAAATAATATCGGGACTAAAAACATAATTTATACTGAAATAGTCGGGATATTACAGTGACCCTCCGCGTGCGTGCGTTGTCGTGCGGTGCGCTGACTGCTTGCCGTGAAGCACTACTGCCACGCGTGCGACACCTGCTGCTTGCAGTGTGAGTGCGGTAGCTCGGGGTGCGATGGCTTGCGGCTTGCGCGATGGCTCGCGGGGTACTCTCGGCCAAGGCTTACGAACAATACTCAAAATTCTCACAACTCTCACTCAACTCTCGGCGCAAAGAACTCATATGCCGAACTAAACATGTGGAGAGGATGAAAGGAAAATTTCTACCAACACCATGCATATATGCATATAATGCCGAAAGAAAAGGCTAGAAAGGAAACATACGGTCAATGCATAGGACACTTAACACTCATGCATAAAGGCTTAGGCCACTTGGCACCACATGCAACTCTTTCTTGGCCTCACTAAGGTCACGTGAATTACCAAAACAAAATGAAGAAGTGTTGGTCAAATTCCCCTTAACTCTACATGAAAATCCGCCCGGCTAATAGACAAAAAGGGGAAGGGGAACAAACCACTAACAAAAGGACAATGGAGGGCACGGCTATCTAGCATGATTTGGAATCTCCAATGTTAAACAAAACATAGTGCACGGCAATTAGCAATGGATTGAAAGATCCAAATGTTTTGAAATGTCTAACCTTGGAATTAATAGATAATTAGTTACTTAGTTATGTTTAATTATTCAATTAAACATAATGCTTAATTATCAAAATTATTCCGAACGTTAATAGTACGTCGAAAATAGTTTCCGGTAATTTCGACTGAAATAACTGAAAACGATTAATTCCGAAAAATAATATCGGAACCAAAAATATAATTTATACTGATAAATAGTCGGGATATTACATTATTAATTATTGAAATATAATGTACGAAATACCGGTATCGATAAAGTGCAAGGACCGAACTCTATAAAGTGCAAGCACGCGTTCATAGATTGCATCTATTATAACATTATTGTGCGATCGTACTGGCGTACCATTTAATAAATTTGTCCCAAACATGTCACCTTTAATTATTTGTCTCAAGTTGTACTAAAATCGAACCAAAATAATCGGATATGTGTTCAGTTAACCAAAATAAATTAAACAGTCGAAATGAAATATATTTAGTATTTTATTATTTTTATTTATTATTTTATATCACTTAGTTTGTTGAAAAATATCTAATATCTATAGAAAATATAAAAAAAAATTAGATTTTTATATATTTTTTCGATTTATTATTTTTAACGACAATGCTGACATCTAACCGATACTTGAAATTTCGAATTAAAAATAAATAAAAAATTGAACTGATAATTTAGTCGGGTCAATTTCGAACGCTAAGGTGCAATCTATCGACTGTTAACTTGCATTCCGTATAAAACTATTGAGCTATCACATGACATTTATATTTAATGTGATTAAATACAATATATTGTGCATATTTTTTTTATTTTTTTACAATTAATACTCATTTACTGAACTTTCTATAAATTATAGTTTTGGCACATGTATCAAATTGATATTTAAATATAATAAAATTTATGAAATTGCAATCAAGTCCTTTAAACTTATCTAATTCTCAAAAAATGCCCTATTCTCAAAATGTCATCTTCTATCCTACCACCCGTCTGCTCCGACAGCCACTCCGACCGGTGACTTCCAGCATCGATGTAAACTGCGGGCGGCAAGGTCCGGCGACTTTCAGGTTTTCTATTTTTTTTTAAATGTCGCCATTGAAGCTCGCCTGTGCAGCAGCGCCTAGGCGATCGGCAGACATGATTCCGGCGAGAGACGAGGCGGCGGTGAGGCGCGGGCGACGGGTGACGGCGCGAGCGACGGAGGGTGACGGGGACTACGCGGGCGATGAGAGACGTCTCAGTCGACGGGGATGACGCCGGCGATGGGGACGGCGCAGGTTACGGGCAACGGGACACGCAGAGAGATTCTGCGCATAAGCTAGCTGGCAACGGCGACGATACACTGACAATTGTGTGTGAGTGAGATTCCGGCGATGGCGGGATGCTCTGGCAGGCAGGATGTGACTGGCGGCGACGGCGCGGTGGTGACATGGTGAAACGGTGGTGGCCGGAGTGGTAATTGTGTTTGTGCCGAAAGTCGAAAGTCACTAGAGGCAAGAGTCAATTCGAGTGTTGGCTTGTGTGTGTGAGTCTGTTTTGGTGTGTGTGTGTGTGTGTGTGTGTGTGTGTG